ATTTATTTTTATTAAATATATAAATTTTTTTTGTATTATTCAGAATATGAAATACAAAAAGTACTTTGAAAACATATTTTTCTTTAATTTTTTAAGTTAATTTTTAAGCTTTTTTAAAGCTTTTTCTTGATTACTATAAAAGATCTTTGCAAAAATATTTTTCAATATTTGCAAATTTAGTTTAATTATTTAGTTTAATGTAATTCAATTTCTAGAACATTTAGAAATCTCATTATATTTTCCAACTAATTCAAAAACCCATTTAGTGCAATTTCTGGAATATCAAAGAACATTCAAAGTCTTACTTTGTCTGTCTTTTGTAATTCGAAAATTCTTTGAAGTTGCGTTCTAGAACATTGTGGAATACACACAAGTAATTGATAGATTATTGTAATATTATTGATTCATTTTAAGATTCAAATAATTTTTTAAATATATTTTATTCAGTTGGTTATCAAATTATTACTGTTAGACCGACGCACATAAAGTAACTTTATTGAAAATTCGCACACACAGTTAAAGATTTTCAGATTTTCGCAAATTCTTATGGAGAGTTCTATTCTTATTTTTCTCAGTGGGTTGGGCTGCGATGCGCACCGTGTGCGACTTGTGGCTCGGTTGTAAGCGCGACTCGGAATGTGGCAAGATGCGCAGGCGCTGCCTTTACGGACCCCCAGCGAGAGACGACGTAAGCGTCGAATGACGTAAGCGAGCGCGAGTCAACGAACGGCGCACGTAAGCCGAGCTGAAGCGAGACAGCGAATTGACGTAGCGGATCTGAGGTGAGCTGAGATCCCCCACTCGTTACTTACTGACTTACTGAATGAAGTAGTCGAGCGGGCGACTACAATGACGACGACCACACTTCACACGACGAGGTGCGCAGCAAGACTGAGCGCGAGCCCCCAACCAGACTGCAATTATAAAAGACGGAGACGTTGGCGCTGGCATTGGAGCTGGCGAGACGGCGGAGCCAGCGCATTAGACGAAAACGAACAGCGGAGAGAAATTCACCAGTGGCCAGCACTCTTGAACTTGACCAAATGCACAAATTGCAGAGGCGAGAGCGCAGCTCTCTCGATCGGTTACCATCTCTCTCTCTCTCTCTCTTGGTTTTTCTGCCTGCGTTGCTCTCTCTTGTAAACAAACGCGTTCCAGTGTCAGTCACTGACAGCTGGAACGAGTTTTGGTTTGGCGCGCATCACGTGGCCGGCTTCGGTTTGTTTTGGTTTCTGAAGCTGCTCGGCTTTGGCTCTGCTTGCCGGCCTGGCTTTGTTTACAGCTGTGACGTCATCGTTTTGACACTTCCAATTGGCAATGAGCAACGCGGCGCAGTCGCTAGCTGCGTCGTGGTGAGTTTTGTGCTGGACTTAACAACGAACTTGACTGCCTGCCGCATGCTGATCGAAGCCAAAACTGTGTTGAAGCAAAACGCACAGAAATGGCATAGGAAAAAAGAAGAAAATACAAAAAAAAAGCATATATAT